CCTAAGAACAACGAAACGTTTCCGAATGAAAATAAGCTGCTGTCACTTCAGCTCACACGAAGCTGTGAGTAATATCCGCCCGTCTGTGAAATGTTGTGTTATTTAATGTGAGGCAGTTTTTTTTAAAACAGTTGGCAGTTTTTGGCACTATTTCTACATGTCATTGATGCTGTTTATCCAGGCAGGAAATGAAATGGGGGGGGGGGGGGATCATGGATCATTTCCTTGAATGACAGTTTGGAAATAAGGGTTGGGCTTAAATTTAATTTCAGAATATTCAGAGTATTTTTGATCCATCTGATGCAGAAACGTCGTGTCGATAACGTTGGACGTGAACTGAAAAGATTTCAGTTGTGGTAATAGCAAGTTTGATTTGTCTTAAAAATGAACTGAACCTAAAGCTAATTAAAACAAAAATCACAAGCTGCTGCACTTTATTTAAAACGATGTTGTTATATCGACTTTCTCTCAGCAACAAGTCTGACTGACGTCCAGCGTCCCTGTTAGCAACAGGCTAACGATTTAGACGTCTTTGTAATATTTGTTCTCCTCTGGACCTCTATCGTGACACTTGAGCTGTATTTGCTGAAAGATTTGATCAACTAATGGCTGTTTATTGACGACATGGAGGTGAGAACTATTTAGTCAGTTCGTTTTTGTCAGATAAATGTCTTTATTTGTCATCTCACCCAGAGTCATACTTTTAATTTTATATGCTAACCCAGCAGAGGGATAAATCCAGGGTGTGTTTAGTCTGTAGCTGACAGACTGGAAGCAAGAGTTCAGATCCGTGTAAAAGCAGCCGCTCACGCAGATATTACCAACAGCCGTGTTTTTTATCAGCCACAGCGAGAAAAGCATTCACTGAAAAATCATGACATTGAAATGAAACGTACTGCAGAAGGCAAAGGCACAAATAATTTATAGCAATCAAAATGTCTGTAAAATGACAGGTTATGTAGAATGTGTCGATCAGTGCATTGCTCGGTTTGCAGTTACCTCAACAGAATAATCACAGCAAGCACTATTGCCCTCTTGAATACACAGATGCCATAAAGTGCTCCTTTGCATTCACAATCGATGCACAGACAGACACGTCACACACACACACACACACACACAAGAAAGTAAAAGACACACATGTTAGGTACACGTGTAAGAGGGCAACAGTGAGTGGAAAATGCTTGTTTCCATAACATACATGATTCATATAAGGTCCAGATTATGGCTTTGAAAGATGGGGGCAGGATTTAGATTTACGTCACCTACAAAGTTTTAGATTTTTTTAAAAACTGTTCTGATGTGGTGCGAAGTGAAATAAGTGTGTTTAGTTTTTTGTGAGTTATATTCCTGCAGGCGTCCAACAAACTGCTGCATGTCCGAGCTTCTCCACAATTGTTTCTACATTCAGAAGAGAAAAGTCTTCAGGACCGCAGGAGGATAGCAGGTCTGCAGATGGTGAAGTTTATTTAGTGCCACAGGTTTAAGGTACGAGCCCAAAAACGGAGGCAACACCAAAATAAATGTCACTGAGACTCGACACAATTCATACGTAAGCATTTTGAATGACTTGGGAAAATAACGTGACAGTAAAGTGTTGGAACAGGATTAGCACCATAACCTTGACAAGACATGTGACTGGCCAAATCATTAAAGGTTTAAAACGACCACCAGGGACAACGCTGCCAATTCTAAAAGTTAAATAATAGAAATAATTTGTCTCCATTTACATTGAATTCCATCGCACTTCTTGAAAACAGCTTAATGCTGATTGTCCCAGTAACAGTTAAAGGGTTATTTTCCAATAAACGAGAGTTGAGTGTGCAGCTCAAACGTGTCAGTCGCGGAACATGTGGTCACAAAGAGCAAAACAACCAATTATCATGTCCGAGCATAACACAAAACAATTCACAAAATCAAAGTGGACAGGAAACGTAACTGGAAACATGTTTTCACTGTAAAAAGTAATGCTCGCTCTCCTGTTGAAGTCTTGAGGGAATCATGTGCAACAACACAATCGTCTTAAGACCCTTTTTAAAAAAACAAGTAATTAATAATAATTTGGTTTATTTGTTTTAAGAAAATAACTGTTGACATTTTATGGCTCATTTGAAAAATCAGTGTGCTGTTTCTAAAACTTAATTTAAACTGTTTTACATTTCCTGAGAAGATTCATTCCAGGTTTGTGGGAGTAATAGATTACAATGATTCAGATCAACTGCATTTGCTAGCATCACTTTTTTTTCCCCCAGTGTATCTTTGTGTCTTGGAAGACAATTTATTCTCTTCAACAATTTACAAAATATTTAAATGTTTGATTTAACAGTAGTTAGCCATGTGACCATAAATATACCAATGTCGTTTCACGAGTCCGGTGATATTGATAAATGCCCGTAAAGAAAGGAAGGAAGCAACATTTCAAAAGGAAGTTTCTGTAAATGTAACGGAACTTTTACGAGGCAATAAAACCACTGGTGTTAATAAAGTCACCCAAACGAGACTGAGCGACTCCACCGTGAACAGGAAGAAGAACAGATAAACAAAACTGACGACCCAACGAAACGAGAAGTGAAACGTTCCCTTTACATTTCTGTGCAGCTGGAATCAAGTCTGAACTCAGTGAATGAGCCGAAAGAGTCAAAGAGCAAAGAAACCTTTTGTAACTAAAGCAACACGGAGCTGTGAGCTACTTTCAACAAAGGACAAATGACGGCAGAAGGAGAGAGATTGACATTCATTGATCCGGTGTGTGTGCTCAGGTGGAGATGATGGAAACACTAAATACAGAATGACGGCGTTGATGTTTCCTGCTTCAGAGGCACAATGAATGAATGTCTACAGGGATATATCATCATGATCTTTGTATCTAGATGTGGTGTTTGAATTGAATGGGTTTCAGTCGATACTGTAATAGTAACTGGAATACAAGTAGTTAAGTAGATAATAACAATATAAGTAAGATAATAAGTGTTTGGTTCACCTTGACAATTTTACTAATTACTGCTTCCACACCGGGTTTCAATTGGATGATGTAGCGCTTGCTTTAACCTGCTTGGAGCACCGGGCGGGTGGAGTTTGCCAGATGAGGCCGCATGTAATGTGTACGTGATGTATGCAAACATAACTCATATCTCTGATCATGTCTAAATTGTGGAGTTGACAGATTTTTGATTTCAACAGGAACGAGTCGGTTTGAGGAGGACATTAAACGTCATCACGCCAAAAATGAAAATCGATCAACTCACGAGAGTTTGTGTTTCGAAGCTTCCTAACTACCGCTAAGTTTATTTTTGTAGAAGTTTAAATCATGTGACCTTTCTAGGCTAACAAGCTTTTGTCCTACTGTTGCATCTTCAGAAATAAAATAAAGTGGCGTTAACTTGTGAAGATGATGTTGCCCAACAGAACGTATAGTATGGAGTTAACCAGGTGATGCTAACCTCTGGGTTAGCCTTCAAACAACCTTTACACCAGCTCAGTTCTGACTGGCTGGAAGGTGTTCGTCAAAAGCCTTGAACGTAGGAGAGGACAGCGGGGACTGAAGCCCGGTGTGGAGGCTCCTCTGTAAACGTCACCTGACTCTGAAGGTGCTTGAACATGCTATAACTGTGTAATAATTCAAGTGTGTAGATATAGTTGGTTTTCAGAGGTTACATTCAGTATCAGTGTCGTCCTAAATCTAAAGTAGTAAATGAAGTTTAGGTCTATACGTGATCTTCTGAGAAGCATTTTCTTGTTGCAGTGAAGTGATGCTCTGGCTTCAAAGTTCAACCTCCGCAGCCAATCACATACGAGTATCTCTACATGTCGCTTTACAATATGGGGTTGCTGTTGATTTCAGTGTCAGTGTTTCACGACTGGAAATTCAGTTTAGTGCAGTGAACGACAAAATATTCAGACTGAAGAAGCACATTACTTTCCATCTTTTTACTTTTTAAAGATGTGCTGCTCTTTTTGTAATCTGGACATTAACATGAATTCATAATGATAGCACTGTGGAGCTGGCTGTATTTATAACACCTAGGACTCCTGGGATCCTATTCTCTGTACTTCATCCTGCCTCATTCACTACTTGCAGAGTCCCAGATCAAAGCCAAATCGGCGTTCAATCGGTATTTGCTAATATCTGAGAGTGAAAGATAAAATTTGAGAGACTCGCCGACGGTCACTTGTTTTCTGGTGAAGGACAACTACAGCCAATCAGAGCACAGGACGGGGTGAGCATACAAAACAGTCTGGGGCTTCTACAAACTCACAATGACTGCGAGACAACAAGTCGTGTTGTGTAAACTACACAAAGTTGTGTCTGAAGTGAAGTGAAGACTGTCGTAAGTTCCCCTTCCACTCATTTCCTTTTTACCTAAGTAGCAGAAAAGCTGATAACATGAATCATTTGATTCCATCAGATAAACTGATCTCAGCCGTCATCATGTTCAGAGATCTTTGTAAAGTAAAGACCTACAGGTGGTTTATATCCCTGAATTCATTTGCCAACAAAGCAGCAGAGATTTAGTGTTTCAAATTCTGGCAAAAATGTTTTTGTCCTTTTCAAGTGGAAAGTTTGGATGCATGAAGTGGAGAAAAACAAGAGACGACAAAACAAAGTGACAGAAGAGAAGAAGTGGTGAAACATGTCTGCCAGCAACTAACCAGTGTTCTTTCTCTCTCTCACACACACACACACACACGTACAAAGCAAAGAGGCAGGAGACTTTTGGTTCTAGTATCACGCTCCAGCCATGAATGGTGCATTATCATGCAAACCATGCAAAAAACAATGAAAATGTATTCATATAAAAAAATAAGTGTTACAAAATGGCATAGCAAGTATATGTATCCATTCGATCTCTTTTTCCGTTTCCTGATATCCTGGACTTTGCAGTGTCTACACTAAAAGTTGCATGCGTTACATGCAGTGCGGTTGGCTTTGCAGCGATAAAGCTTTTGGGTGTATATAGTATGTATATTAATGTTCCTTTTATTTTAGCTAAAGTTTTGCAAAGAGTGCGCTGTACAGAGTTGAACTTTACAAACTGGTTTCCCTTTTTCTCTGGGCAGTCTCGATGGCATGGCTCTGTCTGGACTGGTGGTCAGTTGATGAGATCCTCGTGCCTCTGACGGTCGATGACCGTACTCTTGACCTTGCAGCAGCGGATTAACCCACCTGCACTCCAAGTGTGGTCCAGAGACTTGACCCAAACTGATTTGGGTTTAGAGGCATGGGTTGGATTAAAGGTCTTAACTCAGAGTCGTGGATTTCTGTGAAGTCACACAAATCCCTCAAGGTGGCGTGTTCCACACAGCGTCACCAAATCCCTCTCCCGTGGAGGAGAGAGGCAGGGGCCCCCCACTGGGAGTGAAGGGGTCTGTTTCTGTGTCTGTTTCCCCCTCCGCCAGGTAGCTCGGCCTGGGTCTCGTCCAGCTGCCGTCCCCAGTTGCCACCCTTGCCCCCGTCGACAGATCCTCCCCTTCTTCCCCCTCTCGCTCCCCAGAGATGCTGAACCCGCTGGGCGAGCGCTCCAGCTCCTCATGGTTCACCGACAGCATCGAGAGAGGGGAGTCAGCCCCCCGCCCCCCTGTGGTCCTGCCCAGTCCCACTGACAAGTCCTGCAGGGAGCTGATGGGCAACACTGTGGGACGCTCAGTGTAGGTGGGGATGGCAGCTGGAGGGTTGTGCTGGTAGAGGTGTGACGTCGGGGGTTGATGATCTGGAGGTACACAGCCTCTTCCTGCTAACCCCCTCCCCTCCCCACCTCCTCTTCCACCCCTGCCATAATATGGATTCCCCTTGTTGACAGGCATCTGGTACGACATGTGGGGAAACGCCTCAGCGTAGTTGAAGAACACCCGTCTGATCTCACCGTTCCCCGTCGGATCACAGGTCTCCAGTGTCATGTGTGCTGCACCCGCGGAGTCCACCTGCAGGTGCTCAGTGTGCTGGATGTGCATGTCCACCAGGAAGTCCAACTTCTTCTCCATGTCCTCCACCTGAGACAGAGAGGAAATACTGTAGTACGTGTGTTGGAAATAGATCAACAGCATCATATTAGAGCTGAACTCCAGAACAACTGGGAGGTCCTTCCCCAACATCTGCCTGCACCCAGGTCTTTAAAAAAATAAATTATATATATATATATACACACACCATATTTGTACTTGTTTTCTGGTTTCACACCTGTAAAGCTGGAAAACAACATTAACTTTTTCATAATGTCAAAAGATACTTTGCATTTCCAATCCTCACCTGTCTTTCCACTCTGACGAATCTACCCATCATGCTTTGGTCATCGGCATCTGGCATGCAGGCAGCTTTGGTTATGAAGGACTCGTGCCTGGAACACAGGAACACTGAGTTCAGACTTTGTTCAAGGCAAACAAACAAAAGATTTACAGAACAGAGAAATTACTTCGTTCACAGACGATTAGAAATTATAATTTATGACAAAATGAGACAGAGCTAGTTAGCCTTAGTTTAGCTCTTTTCTTTTTGTCTAATAAATTACAATCTTTAACGTAGTCTCATTTATTGATGATCACGTTTTCTTTACAACAGTGGGGAAGTACCTGGGGGACTGATTTGGCGGATAGGCAAAGGGCGTTTTCTGAGTTTTCTTGTGTTTTGGGGTGAGGGGGGGTCCAGGGGCAAGAATCATGTCGATCCTTGAAGGAAGAGAAACAGGGTGAAGCTGAGGAAGAGGAGACATTTACTTCACTCAAACAAAATCTCACGTCTGTAATTTAGTTGCTGACCTTGTCTGGAGGTATTTGATTCTGCAGAGCATGTCCAGGTGCCCGGCAGAGTACTGCTCGATCACGTCTTTGACATCATAAGGCCTCAGAGTTTCCTTAAACCGCTTCTTGTTCAAGAGGAATTGCATGATCCTGCGAGACAGAGTTTAAAATTCACCACTTAGGATATTCTATCGCACTGTGCTGGTTATTTTGAGTCTTTCTAACTCATAACATGACAGATTCTGTTCACAACTTGAACAAGGTATCAAGATTTGAGGAAAGAGTCCTGGAACCAACAAATAGACGTCAACGTTTATTTGTAAGCTGGGGCGGTTTAGGAGCTGAATTGCTTGTTTGTGGGGGGAGTCGCGCAAACGTCCTTCTCTGTGGCCATCAGCTCCTCCTGGACGATCCTACGATGTCTGCAGGCCAAATGCGTTTATGTAATCCCTCCAGCATTTCCTAGGTCTGCCATGATCTTCATCGGACACTTGGACAACCTGCACTCGCTCCTTTCAAGCTAGTGTTAAACTCACCACTAGGGAACTGACTGCACATGCTCTCCTTCAAGTGGACTTCAAGGAATACGAACAACTATCTGCCTGAGGTTTCCACAGTTGTCGATGTGTGCGTCCACAAGCAAGTATAATTGAGGCTGCTTGTGTCTGTGATCTGATTCTTTGGGTCTTTACCCAAAACTTGAGAGTACAGCAAGAAGGTTCCCAGCTCAAATCCCATGTGGTCTTCCTATGTGTTTGTATGTTCTCCCCATGTTTGCAGGCTTCCTCCTACAGTCCAAAGACATGCAGATGGAGGACAGGTTAATTCTGAATTGACGGTGGGTGTGAATGGTTGTTTGTCTCTGTATGTTGGCCTTGTGGTACGCTGGCCACCTGTTCAGGATCTAACCCGCCTCTCACCCAATGTCAGCTGGGTTTGGTTCCAGCTCCCCCCTGTGGATTTTTGGGTTTTCAGGTATCCTGGCCTCGGAGTCAAGGTGGTGATAATAATCTTCACAACAGTGTTTGTTAAAGCAGCACCTGGTGTCACTGTTGACCATCTATTCGATGTTTGTCAAACAGCAGTTAGGACAGGAAGCTGGGGTTCACTGCTCTGCTCTGAAATACTTTAACTTTGACTCTGTTTGGATCTGATCAAACCAAACATCGTTCAACTCTTTGAAAGTCTCCTTCCTCACACTGAGCTGCTTGGCTGGTGTCAAAACTCTGTGCTGTGTGAGTACCAGCGGTTTTATATTTATCACTGTCACAGAAAGTGGACGTAAAATGTTTGGTCACATGTTTTCAGGCTTGTTTATTGGTGTATTGACAGAATATCTAAAAAGAACCAGCAGAATCAGGATCATAACTCTTGATGAGCATTTGAAGATCCTGACCTTAGTGCTCTGATGACCAGCTTCAGTGTGGGGATCATCTCCTCCAGCAGGATGTCCGGAGGGAAGCCCCGCTCCTCTAAGGCTGGGTCTGCCAGAGCTCCGGAGTCTGGCAGAGTCAGAACCAAGAAATTACAGAAGAAGATGTGTTCATTACCAAACCGAAGACAGTTAATACCCATGTGATTCTAGCCCACTGCCTAGACAAAGACACATTTTATGATTTCATGACCTCTGTACCTTCAGAGCTCTGGCGGAGCGTGTAGGCCTTCATGCGAAAGGCGGTGCGGAAGCGTTCCCGGTTACTGAAGCCGGCAGGTTTGGGCTCCTTAGAGGGGCTTTCCTCGATGGAGTCGGTGTGACCCGTGAGCCTCCTGCCCGTCCCCACTGATGGTCTGGCATTGGGAAGACGAACACGCTCCAGTAAACTCAGCTTCTGGCTGAAATAGGCGAGACGAGAGAAGACGTGAAGTCATGTGACATTGTTGTTTGTGGGAACTGGTAGGCTGAGAAGCAATTTCTTATAATATAGAGTGAGGTGAAGGCGATGAAAGAATCTCAGCTCAGCTTTTGATCATATGATCATCAGATTATTTCCAGAGAAATACTCACAAATCAATCCTATGAAATGAGAAACATGTAAAAATATGCAATATTTAATGTGATATAACCCGAGGGTGCATGCACATGTTTCTGGATGATACCTGCACCTTTATGGGAATGAAAGATCTTAATCCATTTTTCAACAAAGAAAAAAAAGATGAAATCATTCTTCTACTTTCCTCTTGTCTGACTTTCTTCTCACAGAGGAGTTAAGTCTTCATCTTCTGCTGCCTCAACGCAACAATGCTACTCTCCCTGCAGGAGGAGGCCTCAAAGAGCTGCGAGGAGATTGGTCTCCTTTATCATCCAATGGCTGACGGTATTTGGCAGCACAAAGGCGAGAGCTCCCCGGGTAAAATAAGACTCCTGTGTGCCTTGGACGAGGTAGAGAGGCGGGGTAACTGGAGCCGACAACTGCCTGAACAAGGCCTCTGAAACGTGGAGCGTTCTCAGTGACTTTGCTCCCACAGCAGACACACAATATGAGTCTCTATGTTGCTTGGGGGCAGAATAGTGACGGCAGATTACGGCGCTGAGAGGCTGCAGAATAGGAAGCTTTAAAGGAGGAGAGAACCTCATTCTGACTGCTCCTCCACAGATAAAGAGCAGAAAATTAGACGTGATTATCCCGTGGTTTTCTGTAAACCAGGGAACACAACAGGAAACACAAGTGCTTCTTATCTCCTACAGCTCTGGTTTCCAAAGACACACACACTGTGGTGTACTACACCTGCAGAGACCTGCAGAGACGATACAAAGGATAAATCTGTTTATCTTGGTGTTTACAAGTCCGGACACCACCTACATTAAATCACAAGTGTTCCTATTTTCCTGATGTTTAAACTGTAAAAAAAACTAAACACACTGAACTCACTCAGGTCACACTGTCCTCGCTCCACAGGTCACAATGACCACACACACACACACACACACACACACACACACACCAAACAGAGTCAGATGGGATATCACATTTTCTCTCTGTGTTGTGTTCAATGACCTCACAGGACCACTGGATAACTGATAAAAAGGTCTAATATTGCACGCACACGCACACACTGTGTAGTACTGATCATGAGGCTGTGGCATTGTGCTCCCGCCCATACACGCGTTCAACCAATCAGGAGTCAGTGTCAATCATAACGTCTCAGCCTGTTCCATCAAATAACTGATTCAAACCAAACTGATCAGATCATCAGTGAGAGAAGAACGACCTGATCATATAGAATCTGTTGCTATGGGAGCGGACGTCTTCGGCTGTTACTCTGAGGTCAGAATGTTTTTCTCATCAAAAACCCTCGTTAGAGACTCGTTAGTTTCCCTCAGCACCACGGGGAAGAAAGAAAAATCATCAAACCCAAAAGCCTCATCTCGGCCTCTAATTACTCCGTCCAAACTGTCATTCATAATTGAAACGTAACTAATGGACCCACTAATAGGTTTCTAAAAAAAAAGTCTCTCTGCCTCAATGACATCAAAGCAGCTGAAGCAGGCGTTTAATATCACGATTCACATATTTACCACGGCCGTTAGCCCGCAGATTTATTCCACTTGTGATTTAATATCAGAGGTTTGAGAGCGCACGGTGAAATATTGCAGGAAGCGGTGATTAGTCTTCCCGTGTGGGACTAATTAAAGGGCCATCACAGCTCCTGCAGTCAGGCCTGTGTGATTTAGTGGAGATCAGACCGTGACCTACCTCGCTATGGCCTCCAGATGATCCTTCCTGCACACAGAGACAAAGAACAGAGGGAAGAGAAGGACGGGACACACAAGCGGTCAAACTGGGATTCAAACACACTTCACTGCTGACAATCTCTAAAAAACTGCCTGAGACTATTTGAACTTTATTAGACTTAAACCCTCAGAGAGCCAATCACAGCCCAGTGGTTTTACAGTCTCAGTCTAAACACAGTTTATATACTGGCACATATGAGGTCACCATGACCTTTGACCTCTGACCACCGAGTCTACGAGAAATTTTAAAGGGTTCGTTTGGTAGGTAGGGTGGGTAGGTAGGTTGATTGATTGATTGATTGATTGATTGATTGATTGATTGATTTACCTGAAACAGGGAAGAGAAATGACTGTTTCGTAAAATCTCCACGTGGCGATAAGGTCCTCCCTGACTGGATTGGTGGAATAATATCTCCAGGCAGACTTGACGACAGAAACACAACAGAAAATAATATCACTGTTAAAATGTGCTTTCTGGTCTGTTTGACTCTAAATGATCATAATTGACTCAATGAAAATCAGCTGTGTTGAAGAAGACTTGAAACTAGTGCGTCGCCCCCTGCTGTTTATTATAGAGAATACAGGTCACTTTCACGTTGGCTTCACATGAGCCGGGGTCTACGAACATTTTTCTGAACGGTCTCAGAAGCGCCTCACCTGGATGAGGCCGGCGGCCGGATGTCTGCGCTTCTCAAAGTGCTTCTGTCTGTGCTGCTCCTGGACCTTCAGAGCCAGGCCTGATCCCAGAATCCCCTGCAGAAAGACAAACAGACAGGAACTGAACATTTGCTGCCTCATGACGAATGTCCGATCTTTTCTTTAGCAGAAAACTTTTGTCAGCAAATTCATCGATAGTCAGGCGAGTTCATTTAGACGCCGGCAGCACAGCAGTGACGGGACAGAGACAGCAGAGTGAACCCACTGCAGGCAAAGCGAAGAAGGACACTCCGATCAGGGCGAAGGTGCCGGCCAACAGTCTCCCAGCCCACGTCTTCGGGGTTTTGTCTCCATAACCGATGGTGGTCAGAGTGATCTGCAGCGGAAACAGACAAAAAAGATCGACTTCTTAATGTTTCAGTAACATCCACACAACACAGAGTCCATGTCGCTCTGCTCTTTGACCCCCGGGACAATCCGCTGAAGGCTTAACTGTGCCGAGGCATCATCAGCCATCCGGCTTTGTTGCTCAAGGACACTTCAGCGGGGCGGACCTTTGCCTTCACCAAGCTTGAACTGAACTTGAACTGGAGGACGGTTTTAATGAGGTCATCCTGCATCCTGATCTCCTGATACTGTTCCACCAACAGCTTTTATTATTTCTGCTCCAGTTTGGATCTAACGTTCGACACATGAAAATATCAGCGGATAAAAATGATAATCCAGTTTTTTGGGCAGAAATCTTTTATATTCACATCACAGCAAAACGTTTTCAGTTGATCATTCGTCCAGAAAAACAATCTGTTCATCGAGCTGCAGCCAAAACCACAAACTACAGTTTCAGCTCAAGAGCAAATCTCAACCATTTAACAAGTCGTTTCATATTTAAGGTTTATTTCTTTTCGTTCAGTGAAATAATCACATGAGATTTTTCATATTCGGTGTCTCTGAACTGGAAATTACCGAACTTACCAGTGAAAAAAATGAACAAGATCAGACTGTAGATAACGATGGACAATATCCACACTGAGTCTGATCACTGCTGCACAGACGCTGGCTCCAAATCACCACCACAAGATGGCAGCGTTTGAATCCAGAATATTTTGGCGGGGGAAGTGGCAACTGGTCATGGCTCAGTGGGACTTGGCTGTGGGACAAGTTTGGCTCCAGCACATAAAGAACTTCATGAAATAAATCTACAGACAGCGAGTGAGCAAAGATTTGTTCCTAAATAATGTTGCTCTTCGATAAGATGATGGACACGCACCAGCCCCCACCACAGAGCGTCGGCGTAGGTGTCGAAGTCTTGCTGCTTGGGCTGAGCGGTGGGGTTTTCCTGATTGGACACATCCATGGAGACGTCGTCCTTCTCCACCAGGTAGACCAGGAAGGACGCCAGGATCAGAGACAGGAAGCCGATGTACCAGGCTGTGATGAGTTCCTGCAGAAACACACACACACTTGTACTCGTCCTCCTCACCTTCACCTGTTACTTGAAGCCTTTTGGCTCTCAGCAGTTTTTCTCTTGTTCATCTGGAGCTCAGCAAACTAAGTCTGGTCCTACCTTACTGTGTGCGTAGATGGCGGAGCCCAGCAGTTTCCAGGTCCCCCCCCTCCGGTCCATGCGCAGCATTCGCAGGATCTGCAGGAAGCGAAGGCTGCGCAGGGACGTGGCCAACACATTGCCCTGGTTCCGCACCGCCACCACCGGCACAGAGGCAATCAGCACAAAGATGTCTGAGACAGAAGGAAGGGAGGCGGAGTCACGTGTCACAGAATCTCTACGAATCACATGTTTAATGAGTCTGACCTGTCGGACGTCGAATGAGTTCCGACACACATCGTCCCTCTGACTCATGATTCAGATTATAGTGACACTCGGGTTATTGTATTTCATTGTTGGATCACTTCTATAAAGTCTGTACATTAAGTGGTGCTAAACACTTATTTGTCGGCCTCAATCTAAACAACGAAAAAGACAGAGTTTGGTGATGTCATAAAGCAGCGCGGGATCATGGGAGCTGCTGGTCAGCTTGAAGATTCCTGATACAATCCAACAAAAACACTGAATGAAGCAGCTCCATGTTAAAAATAAATCAGTGTTCCTCTGACGATTGAAATCCTTCATCTGAGTTAAAAACCAAGATCTAAAAAGTTTTAAAAAGTGACTTCAAACTGGATAAAAAAATCCATTTTACACAGTATTTGTATGATTCCTCCTCCTCACCTAGAATACACAGAGGTTTGCGAGCGAACTTCAGCCTTCCCCTCCATCCTTTGTAGCGACAGCAGCATCCCGCCGCCCAGACCCTCAGTGCAAACTCCGCTCCGAAGATGAAGATGGCGAAGGTTTCCTGTGTGGGGAGACAAATCAGGAGGAAGACGAGTGAAGGAAGCGCTCAACGTTACAAAATCAAAGAGGACAAACTTTGAACTTTGAAGCTGAGACGTGTTTTTCAGTCATCTGATGTTTCACAAGAACAAATCTGAACCTTTGTAAATATCAGTTTAAAAGTTTCACAGCCACTAGATGTCGCACACGCACCAGAATCTCAGACCGATCTCAAACCTTTTCACATCTCAGCTGAAGCAGAGTGTCATGAAAACATACACGGTGATGTGTTCAGGTTGACGAGGGGAAAGACAGACATGTTTGAAATGAAGATCACAGCAGGAACCAGATACAGACTCTAAATGGCTTCAGTATAAAATCATAGAGAATATAAATCTGAGTCATCTCACCAGAATAACCAGCCAGTGTGCAGACACCTTCTCATGTTCCCTGAATGTTGTCAGAATGGCCAGAATCAAACATCCCAGGACGATTAAAAACCTGCAGAGAGAGAAATAAACACATGAACATAGAGTAACATCTGCGTCAGATCATATTTAAAACACAGTAACATCTGCATCAGATCATATTTAAAACACAGTAACATCTGTGTCAGATCATATTTAAAACACAGTAACATCTGTATCAGATCATATTTAAAAGGCAGGGGTTCATCACCCCCACTAGAGGGAGCTACATCTCTACTTTAACTTTAAATAAGTTGCTTTTATCAGGTTTCATTAAACTGTGGTAAGTTTCCTTTAACCTGGAGAAAAATGGGAATAACCTGCGAGTCCCTCCGTGTTCGCTCTAATGTTTCAGATACAACACATCTGGTGTGGTGGTGAGTTGCGGGTCAGTGGGTGAGACGCTCAGACTGGTGAAGTGTAAAGTGTTAGTCTCCTCTGCGGACTGGGGCGGAGCAGTTTGTAAAGGTTTCTTATTGTCTCGGCCTCAATGAGTTTGAACAAAGAATGTTTTTTAAAAATGTTCAGTGACTCTGACTCTGAATGCACAAGATGGCAGCGTCGCCCATCTTTGTTTACAGACTATGATACAGGAGCAGGTTGTATTAAAACTCACTTTACATCATGTTAGCTCAAATATTCACTTCACACAGTTTAATCCTGACTCCTGACGCACACACACACACACACACACACACACACACACACA